TGTAACAGTCAGAAGAGGCTCCAAGTCTTCTTGCGATGCTACGTAGACAATGCCAGTGTACGGGAATGTGTTGCCATCATCAAGTGAGACAGACACGTTCGTAAGTCCATTCTTGTAGAAAGTCGGAGTGATGCAGCTGACAATATAGGGATCAACGCGGTCTGCGAACACAAGGACATCCCCAATACCAGTGTTAAATTTGCACATTGCACTTTGATAAGCTATGGTGTTCGTTTCAAGACAGGGCACAGTAATTGTAAGAATTTCTCCACCAAGCTCTCGGAAATAGTATGGTGTGAAACTCAGGAGCTGTTTATTGTTTGGAAGAGACAACCCAGCTGCATACCCATATGATTCAGAATGTTCGTATCCATAGACAATGACAGATAATGGTGATGAAAGTGGATCCGTTTGTTCAACATAGTAAACCCCTTCTCCTTTAGGTAGCTGTACGGTAATTAATGAATATATGGTACCGGAGACATTACTTTCGCGAATATCTGTAGCATTGATTGGGGAACCATTAAGATGCACTGTCTGACGAGCGTCTCTTTTGGTGACAATGTTGATAAAATTAAAATAACCTCCAGAGTCCCCTCCCGAATGTGGAGGAGTTGTAAACCCAAACACATATCCAAATTGTTCCTCAGATGGAATATGTATCAAAGAAGGGTCAACTGTTCGACCGTTGACAGACGCTAACAGCTGCATCATCAGTGTAGGTTTGCTTGACAAAACGAGACCTGATCCATGCAAATTTCTTTCCAAAAATTCACCTGAGTCTAGAAGCTGATTTGGAACTCCAGGAATGGTAACATTTGTACCACTGAAAAAGGCAATAATTCGATAAATATTGTTGTCGTTGTTTTGAGATGAAGTGTATATGTGTTTCTGTCCCCAACTATTAATGGGTACCAACTGCTCAGTCAGTGTGTCACAGGCTGAACCTGGTGTATTTACGCACTCGTTGCCGCTAAATACTGCCACAGGCTTGTCACTTTGAACAATGCTTCCCGATAAGTCATTTAAACTCTGGATCTGAACCACTTCTAACTCATTCACCATAAACGTCAACACGTCACCTTGATTGTAGATTTGATCTCCAAATGAAATGGTGTCGCGTAAGGTAACATGAACTGTCGTAGAATCCTGAGTCCCAATTACTGCAAATTGTGATGCTCTACGTCGCTCTTGAAACGTCACCACTACGTACTGAGTACCGAGATTGTTTGTTGGTATGCCGAGATAGCCGTCCGTTGAAAAATCTTGATACATAAGACCGTAGACAGACACGTCGCTAGATGCTGAAACCTTGATTGCTTTTAAGCTTCTCCCTGTACCAGACATCATATATGCAGAAGGAATGTTTGTTCGCTTAAAACCACGGGCCTCAATCACGAAAGACTCTTGGAATGGCTTGCCATCTACTTGGTGTTTGCTGCTAATGGTGACTTCAGTTTGTTGGTCACTAAACGCTACCACTAAAATGAAGAGTCGTCTACTTGCAATATGAGAGTTCCTTATGTTTTCGATGAATGCTATGGTAAACTGTTTACCTCTGGATATTCCAAAGCACTGATTAGACGTCATAAAATCTTGAGCTGTCGATGGTGGTACTTCAGGAACAACAAGAGCAATGAAGATTACCCACCAAAGACGTTGGCTCTGAAACGTCTTTATTCTGCAACGAAATAATAAAAAAAAAGAGGTGTATTAACTAAAACAAATGTATTTTTTATTCTTTCTTTTATGTTTTGTTTTTGTTTTGTTTTTTGTGGAGCAATTTAGCCAAAGAAGCTTCTTTTTTTTTCATTTTTTCATTGGCTTTTGTTCTTATTCTGGGCTCTATTTGAGAAAGAATATAGAATGAAGTACATTTTATAGAAATTATGAGGAGAAGCAATTCGAATGTGGAAAAACTGTCACATTTTTGTGATTGTAACTATGTATATATTGATCTTTATGGAGATATTTACTGTTTTAAATGATTGCTAACTTTTGTAATGAGTCCTGAAACTGCCGACGCACGACCTATACTAGAGTATAATATAATTATGCTGATCTGGCAATAATCAAGATCCATTTTGGAATTAGTTCCTCACACAATCTGGATATCCGTTCGTTTACCAGTAGAAAAATCCCGAAAACCTACATTATTAGACTCTCTTCAAGAATATTGATCGATTTGATCACCTGAAACATTAAACAACCCACCAAGGAAAGGTTACTAGTAGGTTAGAAGTCAATAATGCTGCAAATCTGCCTTTGTATTTCTGCCAGGCCTGTTAACAATTCACCCAAAGTAGGTAAAATCGTCATCTTTGGGACCTAAAGGTCAATATCCACATGACTTGAGGTTTATTTTTCTCAGAAATAACTCGGCTTGCGGTGCCTTTACTTTGCGCCCGCTCTTTTTATTTCATTTATATGGCGCTTTTTACAAAGCGCCTTACATTACAATATCAAAATACATCATCAAACAATCATCAAAATGTGTCGGAAAGAAAATTAAACAGCAAAGATAAACTGTGTATGCGATAGACACTTGGGACCTAGGAACAATCATATTGTCCTCATTTCACGGAAAAAAAATTTACGGATGGTAAGGGGCAGTTTATTCCAATATTGGGGTCCTAGGACAGAAAAAGAACTGCCACTAGCCTTGGTTCTCGTAAATGGAATCTTCAGTATAAGGGTGCCCATAGCAGACCTGAGGCCAATCCAGTCAGGGAGGTATTTAATAATCAGATCTTGCAAGTAAACAGGTGTGCGCAGTTATACACCTGGATGAAAATCCCATACCTCACCCAGTCATTTACACGTAGCCAGGTAAGTTCACGAATTAAAGTGGAGGCGTTAGTACGGCTTGGTATTTGAAAAAATGAACTTGCAGGCCGGTTTTGTAACAATTGTAGGAACCTAAAATTGTCAAAAGATATTCCTCCAGATAACGTATTACAATAATCAATATGGCTAAGGACTAAAAATTGAACAGCATTAATACATGTACATCTATCAATAGAATTTCTAATACGGTATAAATTTCTCAAGTAAATCTTAGCAGCCTGTTTAACTTTCGACACTTGTTTGTTCATTTTTAAGTGTTCATCAAGAAAAACGCCGATATTCTTAACAACTTTAGTTTTAGTTTGGTGTATTACCGCTTTACCTATCTCAAACTTGATGTTGTGAAGGTTGCAATTAAAACCGGGGGGGGGTGAAAAAATTATCATTGCAGTTTTTGAATCATTTATTTTAATTTATTATTGTGCATCCAAACCTTTAATTTTTCAATACCATCTTCAAGACAAGATAATGCTCTATTTATATCAATACCATCTCCATTTTACTTTTCTGTAACTGTTACCCATTTCGTTCATTGGTATTGATTATTTAGGTTGTAATTACTTCGCTTTCAACGCATGTAAAAAAATGTATTTAATTTTGTCAGCGGTTCATTTTAGCTCAGGATCATTTTTGGCGAAGAACACACTTTGTTCAAACAAATATCGATCCATTACGGCTTACCAATGAAAAAAATCTACATCAGAGGAATACATAATTGCCATATTTAGCTTTGTCATAATTTTTACTTCAAGTATCAAGCATGCATTGGTTTTGTAATTTTTGCCACAAAATTTTCGGGAAACAACGAAAGTAACAGTCACAATAAGACCAGAAAGTCCAGAAATCGTTAATTTAATTGATTTTCCCATAGAACCCTTTTGTCATCCTGTCGGTAAAATTTTGAAAACTATAAGGTCATCACCATTTCTTATCAAAACATGTTAGCAGATAGTAAACATGATAGTTGACTTCAAGGATATGAGTTGAAGAGCCCTAAAGTGAGCCCCTATCGAGGGGAATAAAAGCAGACATAATCATGATAAAAGTGAAAAAAACTTGAATCCCAAGTTGATCATAAGCTGCTATTGCGAAGATTGACCTCCAGCAATTACCAGCTCCCTTGTTCAGTCCAAGCTAATGAATGCTTGTGCTAAAAACAACGTGCCTGCTCATATGGGGTACGTGGTTCAAAGAATCATACAGCTATTCGGGTGTTTGTCCTGAAGCAAAACATATAACAAATAAAATGCTTTTCATTTCCCTTAAAATACTTCAAAGTCAAAGTCAGAGTTTAATTTTGAAATATAGTTATGTCCAAAACTCTGGCCTTACAATACGCTTTTGTCTTTTTCTTTTGACGTCAGAACAGAACCTGAGTCTATTCAGTTGCATGTCCTGATAACCAATCTTGCGTTTCCTAAACCAGTCTCTTGACCCCATTTACGGGCAAAATATTTGCTGATCGAAAATTTCTGGCCCTTAAACCCCTGTCACACTGTAGCGAATAGAGCCAACGTATGCCGACGTTTATGAAAATTTTGGTTTACGTTTGCGTAAGTTGACATTCGTTCATGATAATACGTTCGTAATACGTTTGACATACGTTGTATTCGTAAGCTGTTGGTACGCTGCGGTTGATTTTAAATTTTGAACATGTTCAAAATTTTGAAAGTATGACAACTTTCTGCTAAATACGCTTTGTATACGATGAGCATTCGTTGTTTGAACATTTTCTCTTTGTCCGTTGATCGTTCAAATACGTCCAAACACTTTGCCATAGCAAATGCATGACGTATACACTATAGCGTTTGTCTACTAATAATGGATAACGAATGTCCAACGAATACTATACTATAGTAGACTTGTACCAACCTACATCAACTTTCACAAGGCGTTCATCTAACGTGCTTGACGCTGCCTATCGATATCGTAACGTGCGTGCACAGTACAGCTACAGTTCGCGTAGCGTTTTTAAGTCTGTCCTCACATCAGAGATGGAAGATGCGAATTCTCATGGGCCTGAGAGATGGTGCAACCCCGGAGTTTGGCTCCCTTCTTCTTTGAAGACTGCGAAACAATGGATGTCAAGGAGGAGATCAGTTTACTACGTGACCAGACATCGGATTAACGAGGTATGATGAGTGAAGGGGTGTTCTAGTGAGTATGTCCGAACAGCGAATTTTCTTAACGTAAGATAGTTTGGTAAAATCTCATGAATTATTGATAATTATCCTTATAGAACATCATTTGCGCATGCGCTACTCGCAAGTCTGTGTCAGCCTCATTTTGTGTTTGATTTTGGTAAAACAACACACGTAACGACACTATTACTTGCCTCTCCCCAGAGCATGGCAAGCGTGTATTTGAATCAATGCAAAATCAAAACAGCTGACTGCTTTGATACAGTGAAATGATAGATTTACTGTCAGCCTTCAAATACAATAGGATTACCTGTACTAAATAGGCCTATTCTTCAATTAAAATTTTATTGAAATTCAACTATGTAAGCTAATTGAACTTCGCTCAATGCTGTGAACTTCGCAAATTATGCCCATACAGTGGGCGTTTGTCCCCGCCCCGATAATTTCTTTCCCCTCACTCACCTCAAGAGACAGCCTCCAAACCCCCCCCCTCCCGCCACCCAGATATTTCAGACGCTGGCGCCGCCACTGTACAAAACAAAATAACAACGTTGCATAAAATAAATAAATCACGTTGTTTTATGTTAACTTTGAAATATTATTTGTTCACGATAAAATAAACGAGATTGGATATACCGGTAACAGACAGAATGAACTAGCTCTAATTTTGCGTCTACTTGCATATAATAGACCTATACTCATCAAAGACAATTGTGCTCGCTGGACCCTTTGTTGAATGCCCATCTTATTTTGTCTATGATATATAAACTAAAAGAGCCGCACTGGGGCGGATGTAGGGGGTGCGTGATAGTCTACACCACTTCAGCCCCACAATGGTTGGGGTGAGTTGCGAACTTTTTAAGAATATGGTGCCCGGAAATTGCACTCTCATACCTCAGCTTAAAAAATCTTACTGGTAATTCAATAGGGGTCTTAGGTCAAGAAGGGGGGGGGCAAAGGTAATAATTTCCCAGTTAGTAATTTATGACCCTGTGTGATACCCCAACCTCCCCCACCCCAAATATAGAAAACAATATGACATAGGGCTTATCTTATACATGATATAGGCCACAAACGTGTGTTTCAACTAATTATAAGCATTTTCATTATCGTTTTATTTATTACAAACATATTCCTTCATCATCAATACACATTGAGCCTTTATTTTAGGTAAAACGATCTATCTTAATTTTTCTTTTTCTGAGTTGGGACCATTATGTGTTGAGTTGACTTTATTATTTATTTATTTATTTATTGGTATATACACTCAAAATGCAACAGAAGTTGAAATTCTTATGAGTTTACAATATACAGTAGAAGCTAAAGTACCAAAAAAGAATCGATAACAATACAATATTGCACATTAATAACATCGATAACAATACAATATTATACATTGGCAATTAGAATTAATAAATTGAATTATTCATTATATAAAAAACCAAAATTATTCAACACAATTAAATCAATATAAACAAGCATATTTAAACATACAGCATTGGAATTATGAGAAAATATTATACAATTACCAATATATAATACTTTTTATCATACAATTATTATCATTACAATATTACGATTGTTCAAAAATATTTACAAAATACATATAAAAAATACAAAGATAACAAATACAACAAATTATAAGTTAATCAAATGAGGCAATAAGGATTTTAAAAATTCAATAGTTCA